TGGTGGATATTCATTTCGGTACAATACCGTTGGAATTTGGTTTTCGGTCCATGTTGAAGAATAAAGCTCAGTCGAGTTTAGAAGTTATGGGTATGCTGCTTCGCAACCACCACCGTCGGTGTTATCGTATTCAATTTCTAGAGAAAAATCTAGAATAAATATTAGGTCTCCACATAGGTACGGAGAATTTGATTTGGTTGCATATGCTTCAAGTGTAGTTGGATGTGTTTGAGTCTAGTAAAGAACCTTCAACAGAATCAGTTTATTGTGTTGATTTGGTTACAGGGTAAGTTTCTGCCATATTTGGTAATTTGTGTGTATATAATCTCTGCCTTAATTCTTAACAAGTGATATCAGAGCATACATAATTCTTGTTAGTTTGTTAATAATTTTCATAATGTTCATCATTACGAAGTAGTACCTACTCTAAAGTATTTATCGTCTTTAACCTTTGCCAAACCGACATCCAAAATTCATTAAAATAAACGAAATTTGTCCAGACAGCCGGGTTGAACAAAACATTTGGAATAATAGCCTTTGACTCATATTAAAATAATAATAATAATAATAATAATAATGTAATAAAATGATAAAATGACAAAATTTCCCTTCAACTTTTAACTCAAAATTCACCATTTTCCCCTAATTTCACCCGCTGTAAACCCTTTCCCTTACTGCTCCATTTTTTGAAAAACGAACAGCTTCTTCTTCCCATTTCATCACATGCTTCCTTCTTCTTATTCAAATCTCAAAATTATTTTATTATTCCGTTTTATTTTTTCTTCCCCCTCTTTTAGACTCTAGATTTTAGTATCTTCTTTGTGATTGGTTATGGTGATTCGGTTCCCTTTCTAAAAAATAAAATTAATATTGGCTTGATCTGAGTTTTTGTTTTTTCTTGATTTTCCCTTTCAGAAGCTTCAGTGAGTTATACACAGAATATGGATGATGAATATGAGAAACTCATCAGGAGAATGAACCCTCCCAGGTACCTATTTTCTTATATCCGTTTATGTATAAATGATTTGATTCAATTTTATAGCCATTATTTAATCCAATTTCATTTGTTGTCGGAGTTGTAATTGATAATGAATCCTGCAAAAATGCCACTGTTATTCAGGTATGTACCTTGTTTATGTTGCAGTTTACTCCAGATATCTCAAGACTTATGGGATTTTTCAAATTTTTGTAATTTTTAAGGTTCATGTTGTCCTTGTTCTCTTATGCAGGTTGACAGTGCTAATACACATGAAATACTTTTGGATGTTGTACAAGTCCTTACTGATCTTAATCTTATGATATCTAAAGCTTATATTTGTTCTGATGGAGGATGGTTCATGGATGGTATTAACATTTATATTATATTTCACCCCATAAAAAATAATTTATATACCAATAATAATTGGAAATAATTGTTGAGCCGTTTATTTTTCTCCGGCAGTTTTCAATGTCACTGACCAAGGTGGAAACGAGATAACAGATGAAGCGAGTCTCGATTATATCCAGAAGGCTAGTTGTGTTAAATTTCAAAGTATTATTACTTTCTGTTTGCATAAATTTGCAAACAAATTGCTATTTTTGTATTTGTTTGTAGTCACTTGGTCCGGATTCTTGCTTTGCATCTTCTATGAGACGATTTGTCGGGGTGATGTTTGGAATGTACCACATAGCAATTGAGTTAATAGGAAGTGATAGATCGGGACTACTTTCGGAAGTGAGTGTTGTTCTCACCCACCTCAAATGCAATGTGGTGAATGCTGAGGTGTGGACCCATAATACCCGAGCAGCAGCTGTAATGCAAGTAACTGATGAAGAAACTGGAGGTGCAATTGCGGATCCCGAGAGGCTAGCCATGGTTATCGCCATTTATGTAATGTACTTAAGGGAACTAACAAATCTCGGGAAGCTAAGACAGTGGTATCTTACGGGGTCACTTATACCGAGAGAAGGCTCAATTCAGTATGGATTTGGTTAGTCCGGAATGCAATGGTAGCTGAAATCAATGCTCTTGAATTTTTGCAAGCTCAATTCAGTATGGATTTGAAACTAATTTGCTAATGAAGAAATATATAGAATTTTTGTAAGCTCAATTCAGTATGGATTTGGTTTGTCTAGAATATATGTCTATTTGGAGGAAGAAATTAGCTACAAAAATATTTGCATGGCACTCTGATCCGTAGACTTAGTAAAATATATTTTGCAATTGTATAATTTAACATCCTAGAGAATGATTTTGCAATTGTACAGTTTTGATGCCTTTAATTTAAATGTTCTTATCCGTACAATTTTGATGCGGTGTAACTTTGATTTGTACAGTTTTGATGCGTTTAATTTAAATATTCTTATGTCGTCACTCCCGGATTGAACCTCTATTAGAACGGCATAAGTGTCGTTATGCTGTGAGAAAAAAATTCAATGAGAACGGCACTAGTGCCATTACTGTCCAGAAAACGACACATATGTCGTTCTGCCAAGGAAGATAGCATTTATTAGAATGGTGTGAGTATCGTTATATTTGTAAATATAACGATAATGAGAAAGACACTTGATGAACTCATTAGATGTGAAAAGAAAAAGCAAATTGATGAAAACAATGTAGAAAATGACACTTGTGCTGTTATTGATATTAGAACGGCACAAGTGTCGTTATGCTGCGTGAAAAAATTTCAATGAGAACGACACTGTCCA